GTCCCTGGCCACCTTGGGGGCAAGCTCTGCTGCCCAGGCCTTCCAGCAGTGACCTACACACTGTGTCCAGCCCCCTCTAGAGCTCCGATGGCTTTTAACTGTTGTGCAGCCTCCCGGGGCTGTTGCCTGCCCCTGGCCTTCCAGACCTGGTGCTGCCCAGCAGGGTCTCAGCCTGCGGTAGGCCTACTCTGGCTTAACTACAGCGGCCACGGTGGGCACCTCCAGCTGTGTGAGTGGGAGCCAGGATGCTGCCCTGTGGTGTGAGGGGACAGTGCCATCTCGATCGGTGGCCTTGCGTTTGGGACTTCAGAGTGCCGAGTCTCAATCCCCTGTATCACCAGGGAGGCCTCGTGGCTCCATCTCCTTGAAGAATGTGCTGTGAGCTGGGTGTATTATTTCTTTTAGCAGTGTTCTGTAGTTTTTATTGTAGAGGTCTTTCACCTCCTTTGTTTTGTTCATTCTCAAGTAATTAATGTTTGTCACTGGGGAGGCTTGTTAACTTCTTCAGCCACTACACTGTTTGTACCTGGGAAGCCTCCTGTGCACTGTTCTAAGTGCACAGTCTGTTGTCATTACTTATGTCATGCACCTTGAGGTACCCAAGGCATCTACTTTACACCTGTAGAGTAATTCTCATTTCTAAGACCTGGGGGCCCCCCAGGTTTGAGTACACCCCCACAGCAGCCAGGCATTCTTTCAGCTCATAGCGTAGCTGCTGACTGAGTCTGCCACTTTCTGTTTTCTGGCCTGCTGACGCTACCAAGAGGAGCATGTTCTCGCCCAGCAGTTCTGGTCTCCCCATAAAGAGAACCGGGCAGCCCAGGGCGAATCCTCGGTCTGAACGGCATCCAGCCCTCAGCAGGACCTGACCTCAGCTGTCTCCCTGTAGGATTCATCTAGGCACAGGGGATGTGACAAAAGGGAAGAGGATACGCCCAGCCACAGCAGCACTTTTACGCACCTGTAGTTCTGGTTAACCCCCACTGTCCAGAGCCAGTCATGGGGCCAGTTCTGCAGCCCCGGAGCAGAGAAGCTCACAGCACCCACACTAATGCTCTGGTCAGAGCGATCTATTCCTCGGGGATGTCAAATGAGGCAGGACCATGGACTCACCCTCACATATTTGGTAAGCAGCTTACCCTGGAGGGTAGTTTGGGAATTCCAAGACACCGTCCTTACTGCCAATTTTTATAGTAAAAAATCATAACTTAAAAAAGTTTAACATCTTAGCTTTAACCAACTTTGTTAAGGGGAAGGACGTCCTGAAGGAACTCTGCGGTCTTGTGGACCCCACCCCCCCCTCCGGCTTTCTGGATTCCGTCCCCTGCTCCAGGAATTGGAAACTACAACTCCCAGCAGCACCAGGGAGAGAGCTGCGAGGACCCAGGGCGGAGCTAAGCAGCATTCTGGGACTTTGGGGGATGATTAGGATGCCATTTTTTCAATGGCCTCTCTGGCTCCGGCTACTGCTCTCAGGACTGCGTGACTGGCAGCGATTAATGTTTGTCACCAGAGCTCCAAGTCAGGCTAGCTGGTAAGATATTCCAGTTACCTTGTATTTCTCTCTTTCCCTGGGTTGTTCCTTTTCCTTTCCCCTTTTGTAAATAAACCCATTAGTGACCCTTTTGTGTGTGCCTGCAGGACAACTAAATTTTAGGCGTGCAGGTGAGGCCCCACAGACAGCCCAGTTCGCACTGGGATTCCCTGTAACACTTTCACTTAATAGGTTTCCTCTGCAAAACTGACTTTATGACTTGTCTTTTGCAATGTAGCAACTCATCCCAAAGGGGTGAGTTTAAGGCACAGTTTTATATTTAGTTATAATTTAGGCCGTGCCGTGCTGGGGTACCTTGCTCATATAAGGACCAACACTGAGGTATCCAAGGTATCCACTTTACACCTGAGCCCGATCTCTGGTCAGAGGATCTGAAACATTTTAATCTTGTTACATGACCTTATTCAAATTCTTCTTCACTTTCATCCAAACAAAATCTGTAAATTTATTTAGGAAATACACATTACTGGGCCCTCCCTGGTGGCGCAACTGGTTAAAAGCTCAGCCGGTGCTACAACATGAATTCAGTCCCCAGCCAGGGAGGACATTTTCTGCCCCACCCGCTGATCCCCTCAGCAGTGGCCCCTGACCAGAGTCAGAACAGTTTAAGAATATTTGAGTTCTTACTGTAGATGAAAAATTATAGTTGGGTTTGACATAAGTACTTATATTAAACTCAGCAAGTCATTCTAGCACATAACATTTTCACGGCGCCCAGAACTTCAACCCCTTCTTTTACCTTCTTGAAAGTCTACACTTTCTTTTCAGACCTTCAAAATATTTATTTCCAACATATTTTTTTCTTATTAAACCCAGAGCTCACTTTACTCAACTTGTGAGTCATGACAGATTTTTATCTTGAATTTTTTTGTAAAGAAGTCAAGGCATTTACTGGGAGAAGAGTATCTCCTCTCCAAGGGGAAAAGAGAGGTAGACTAGTTTTTCTGGAAAGAGATTTCATCCAGAGAGGTTTAGATAAAGACCTTAGAAGTATGTTTCTTTGTTAACATAGACTAAGGTATGCAGAGCAAGTGATATTGGGGTTAAAATGTAAGTCTGGAGCAGCTGAGCTCAGGAAGGGAGTAGGGTCGACAAAGCAGGATGGTCAAGGAGGTCATGGAGAGAGTGAGGATAGGACCTGACGGGGTTGGTGACTGACGGTTTTGATGGGTCACTGAAGTTATGGGTCACTTGTCTGAGGTCAGGGGAAGCCAAGGGCCTGGGCCCATGGATGGAGAGGTAGAAGGGTCTGTCAGTGTTAGAGACAGTGTCAGGGCCTTGAGGAGGGCCCTCTTGTCCTCGCCACTGAAGGGTAAGGGACCAGTAGGAGTTGCTTTTGCCATGTCATACAGTGGCTTGGGCAGGAAAGCAAAATTAAGGCTCCAGTGACGGAAGAATCTGACCAAACGTAGGAAGGAAAGGATTTGTTCTGAAGATTCAGGAGAGG